GCCCCCCCCCCCCCCCCCCCCCTGCTTTTCCCAATGATTTGATGTTTTAGCTATTAGGATTGAAAACAATTGATTTGCTAGGGTCTTAGTAGCCATACGTGTGTTCTAAAGAAAAAATTATGACAGTGTAGCCCTCAAATCAATGCATCTGTCATGTGGGTGCATGCGTAAAAATTTTTTTACCTTTATTTTAACTATTTTGAGGATTGCATAAAATATTATCATTGTATCTTGTATGCAGTTAGAAATATCGATACCGAAACAGGGTCTGTTTACACACACCCAATTGCAGGGGAAAGGGTTAAAAAGATATATATTGAGGGGCGGGGCTATTCATGTATGGTGTATGTACCTATTCGTTTTAGTAAATAACCCTGTGAAAGTTTTATACAAAAACGGCCGGATGTTTGAAAACTAACAACGTTTTTGTTTTTCAAACTTCCGGGTTGATATTTTTCAAAGTTTCTATTTTAGGCCAATCTAGATCAAGAATCTAGATCTAGTTATTTTTGTCGAAGCCGAAACTGTAAACTGAAGACCGAAACCTCCGAGGCATAGAGCCTAAAAGAAGGTACAGGTCGCCACCTCTAGAACAACCTGAGTTCGAAAATCAAAGGTTAGGATCTAGATCTAGATCTAGATCTAGAGTCTAGAGGTACAACATTGGTGATTTGTGACATGTTCATATTATGATATCATTATCATTTGATATTCAATTGGCTGGCTATGATGATAATTCGTTGGCATTGTAAGTGGACTGTCCCCAAAGTCTTTGAGTTGCCAAGCCCGCCAGTGCATTATCATGATTGTGTGTTGTAATGTCAGTCACAGTCATAGCCTGCGGAATTGCAATAACTAAACACGGACGACTTTTCTGCTTGGCCAGGAGTGAGAATAGTGCAGGCGAGTCTTGTGGCTAGTCTCACCCGGTGCGCGTTCACCAAATTTTGCGTTCATCCTAAACCACAGAATTCTACACTGTGATAACAGAAAATTGTAGAATTCTGTGCCGTGAACAAACGTTCCATTACAACTGTAGCCTACTAAAAGCGTACAATTTTGTCTGTGGGCAGTGGAGAGAGAAAGAGAGAGAGGAGTAGCGCGAGAATTTCCGGGCAAAAAACAAAATGGCGACCCGCGTAGTTCGGCTCGATTCGAAAAGTTAAATAGCGGTAGCATCTTTGTAGACTACCAAATTAATTTACTTTTGTGTTTTAACATCATTTTTTAACTTTGTTTTGGTCAATTTGATCGTCCACACCGATAGACAGTATTCAGAAAGAGAGAGAGAAGAGGGGAGGAGTTGATCTTGCGAGAACTTCCGGGCGGGTGAGAATAGCTGAATAGCCACTTTCTTTCTGCTTCATCAATCATAATTAGCACACACACACACACACACTCACACACACACACACTCACACACACACACACACACACACAGACGGACAGAGAGGCGAACGCACTGCACTCGAGCACAATAAGCTAGATCTATGTATGGATGTGAGATGTGGAACACATCCCATATGTGCATAAAGAGGATCCAGGTTTTCTTGAACAAGTGTCTGAGGAGGCTGCATGAGGATCAAATGGACAGACAGGATCACCAACGAGGAAGTATTAGGATGAACCAGACAGAGCCTGGTCAGAGATGAGGTGGGAAGAAGACATTTGGCGATGGATTGGACACACTCTTAAGAAGTCAAGCAGCTGCATAACAAGAAAAGTGTTTGATTGGAACCCACAGGGTAAAAGATCAAGGGGAAGACCTCGTGGAACCTGGAGAAGAGTCACGGAAATGGATGTACAGAAAAGTGGGAAGACGTGGAGTGACATCAAGCGACTAGCCCAGGATAGGGAAAGGTGGAGAGTGTTTGTTCGTGGCCTATATCCTGACCCAGGGTGAGAAAGGCAATGATGATGACCCACCAACGCAAAAGAGCTCCAATTTACTCGGTGGCAGTTGACACTACCTATAAAAATACCATCTCTGTCCATGACAAAATTACGGTAGTTTGCGCATTTTAAGGCCCAGTTCAAAGTTTTGAAGATCTGAGTCAGGAATTTGTAGACTTTGGGAATTTAACATGCTAAAGTATAAGATCACCAATTTTTTTTGCGTTGCCATGCCTAAGTACTTCACAGATGCACTGATTTAAGAGCTAAACTGCCATAATTTTTGCTGCAGAACATACGTGTATTGACCACTAAAACCCTTGCAAATCAATTGTTTTTAGGTAAAAATATTAACGCATCAAATCATTGTGAAATGCAGGGTGAAACCCCCAATGTTAAGACGAAGTGACTATTCGGACTAGACTCTAGAGTCCGAATAGACAAAAATTGCGGAATCTGAATTGAGTCCAGCAGGAAGTCCGTTCCAACTTCCGACCCTCGAGTCCGAATAACATTTCTTCATATTCGGACTCGAGTCCGAATAAAAAGATTTCTTATTCGGACTCGAGTCCGAATGTGAAAAAATGTTATTCGGGCTTGGGTCCGGAAAAAAGGAAGTGTCTTCGTTCTATAGATCTAACGTTCAGTGCTTTCATTTTTCCGCCATTTTTTAGTTTCCCCCACACCTTATCTGCCGATCCAATGCCCACCCGCCTCATTGATACGTCCCCCAACCCCCCATGTTTCCCACTTTCTTTGTTGTAGAAAAAGGTAAAATTGAAGATTAGCAGACCACCTGGCACCTGCACATTATGATCTGTGTTTTAAAAACAGACAGATTCGTTCAAATACACACAAGCCTGTGTCATCTCGATTGTTTACCAAGAAAAAGTTGTGTTGCTGTTTAGAGCCGAGCATACGGCAACTTTTGGTTCCATGGACCAGCGCACAATTCATTACGTAGATCTACGTCAAGACTAGCTTATTAAATTGTAATAATGATCTGTTGCCGGGGGATAAAAGACTGACGCGTATGCGACGTTCAACCCCCGGACCGATAGTGCCCCTCCCCGACACGCACACACAGCCACACGTGTGCAGGCCGCCCATCCGACCCCGACACACGCTAACAAGCCAATTGCTTCTGGTGACCTCTTGACAAATAAACATTTATTAGAAGCGCTATAACTTTTCAGGCCGGCCTCAAATTCATCATAAGATAAAAACTCGGCTCCTGCACAAAACGCCATTTTGCCCGAAATGATCCCGGTCTACCCAGCCTGAGGCGAGTCACGAGCGAGGCATGACAGGAAGCTGGAGTCACGAGTCACAGGAAGTCGGAAGTGATGTCATGCTGGACAAGAATCTGAGTCCGAATAATTTTTTTCACTTCGTTCCTCTAAATATTCCAGCATTTATATATTTATGAAAATTTTTCGATCATAATTATAATGACAACAGTCAAGACGTTAGCTTTAATAACTCTTTCGCTACATATTATTTTCTGCTTGTGGACGAATTTTTTTCGGGAGGGCGAATGAGATGATGACTAGTGGGCAGTTAAAAGGTCTTTGGGGCCACAAATTCAAATAAGGCAAGCGCTATTTGCAACGCCGCGTTCTGAATAGCTCCTGTGCTATTTGAAACGCCAGTACTAGATCTAGAATCTAGATCTAGATGTAGTAGCCATCATTTCTAGATGATAATATTGTAGTTCTGCCTGAATTGTGGAAGCTTTCTCAGTTTGTTGATAAACCTCCTAGGATTTGACTCCTTTTTTTATGACGTTGTCCTACTTGAAAGCGTCTTGTTGGGTTCGTCATCATGACCGGTCAGTGAACCTGTGCTTGCGCATGCATCACATGAGTACCGGTTGGGGTCACCGAAGTTCATTCAAAGTCTGTGCGCTGCGAAGTATAGGGCTCAGGAATGGGGGGATTTTTTTTTTTTTAAGGTACAGTCGGGAGGAGGGGTGGGGATGAAGGCAGCACCGGATGACAAAAACTGAACTTGGAGTTCTCAACAGCCCGGTTACCGTGTACGTAGGCACTCCGAAAATAATTAGAAAAACTCACTACAACAAAATTAAATTAAACATGGGGAAAGACAAATGGTGGTGCAAGTTAGGGGCGGGCACGAGACGAGCCGAGTACTCGTTTCTCGCGAGAAACGCCCTTCCCGTCGCTTCCCGGGCACTAAACTACTACTCGGTACCGAGACGTGATACTGCTCGTTGGCTTGACATAACGAGTAACAGTAACGAGAGTGAGAGGCGAGAAATGACAACGCAGACAGTGCCACCCATCACCGTGCCGTCCTGTGTGTGAAACTGAAAGGGGGGGGGGGGAGACGAGGCGAGTGGGGAGTTGATCAGGGCCTAGGCCTAGGTCTCCCTACCTTCCTTCACCGCCTGCGCAACAGGGCAAGCCTAGTTTCTAAGTTTAGATCGGTGGGTGGTTGGCGGGTGCTCTGGTGTGGTTTGCTCCTTCTTTCCTATCAAACATCTGTCGTCTTTATCTCCCCTCCTCCTTTTTTGTGTTTGTTACTCACTTGTAACACCTCTAATCTTCAGCACTTATATGACCTTATTGTGTTGCAAGTGCCGTAAAACTCTTCCTAAAAACTAAGTTTAGATCCCCACCACGATCGGCCTTCCCACTAAACGAGTTGCTCGTTCTGTGGGGCGAGAAGAGAAATCTCGGCCACGGCCGGCCTTCTCGCTGAACGAGTGGCTCGAACTGCAGGGCAAGAAGAGAAATTGGTCACGAGTCGAGAAGTATTGCTCGAGACACGAGACGGGAAGTATTTCTCGTTCCCGGGACCGGTCTCTGCGAGAAGTAGGTCAGCTTCTCGATCTTCTCGCTCGAGGAGGAAAAAGCGCTTCCCGCCCGTCTCTAGTGGAAGTAATGATGATGCTGTAGTGGTGGTGGAAGGACCCTGAGTTGTCAACGTTGATCTTGTCCCTTTTTCTATTTTGTATCAAAAATATCTTTGCTGGATTCACCGAATCATTCGGATAGAATCTACTAGATTCTAGATCTAGTAGATCTGGAATCTATAATATATCTAAATCTAGCCTACTATACACATGAAGCTACAACGCGTACCTAGCACTCTTTTGTGATTGGCCTAAATATAGATGATGTATTTCCGCCTTCTATTTTTGTCATCTTCCTGGGCTTCCCTCATTTTTTCCTTGCCAGTTGACTAGATCTCAGCATAATGGGCACCCCGTATTAGTGTGCGATGGGCTACGTCACTAGGTTTCATCGGCGTCTGCTTGGTCTTTGTGTGCGCGCGCGTGTGTGTGTGCGCACACGCGATTGGTAAATTTATGGACCAAGAATTGCTGAGATTGTTTATACACATGATAACACAAATTAATACCCCCCCCCCCAAAAAAAAAAACAACCCAACTGCAACATCTTGTCAACAGTCACTGCCGCGGGAAACCCAAGAGTCTTGGGGGAAACCCCGGAAGATGATAAAAATTGATGGAGGAAATACGTCATCTATATTTGGGCCAATCAAGGAGGTATGCTAGGTGCTCTCTGTAGCTTCATGTCTACTATACTATAGTAGTTTTGTACTTTTGTAACTGTTGACTTTCATCTGATGGCACTTATAATAGTATAAAATAGATAAAATGGAATCGCTCTGTTTAAGTTTAATCTTTTCAGATCTTGACATTATATATGGGTCTAAAGGTTGGATGACCAACAGAATCTAAAAGCCCATTCATAAAAGGCCAATACGAACTGAGGTTCCGACAGGTTTTTTTTTAATGTTTTAAGTTTAAAGCGGGTCAAAAAAATAATAGTAGATTTACAGCATTATACACCAATAAAAGTTGACATATATTTTCTTCTACACTACACTTTAATGTGTGTTTACCAAAGAAATACGATTCAAGAAACGGAGTGAGTAATTTCCGAGACTCATGTGGAGCACTTGGAGATCATGTCTTCAGACAGCTTTGAGGTAAAATCAACAAGCTTACTTCACTAAAATTGAAATGTGGGGGCAAGGTGTCTCAAAATGAGCGATTTGTAGGTATGTTACTGTTTGTAGTGATTTATTTTAATGATCCTGTGTGTATGCATCTAAAGAATGATATCACCGAAAGAGAAAAACTTTTTAATTACTGGATCAAGATCTTTAAAAAATATTTTTGTTTGGTTGCTGACCTGGGGAAGTGCCATGCAAAGTTTTTTTGGGCTTAGGTAAATTGATACTTTGACAGAATATAATATATACACAGAATGATAGATAGAAGACAGCAAGTATAATGACTGTATAGACCTGGCAGCTAGAAATATTGAGAGAAAAAAAATTATTTAATTTACAAAATACAAAATCTTTGCTGCCTGCAGAGGAGAACAAATTTTACTTCCTCTTCCAGTTACAGTACAGAAGGACTTGCAACCACCCCAACAAACACAATGAAGGAGAGACCTTACCTAAGTCCTAACCCTCTACTCTATTTCATAGGTGGTTGTTGGTTAATGAATTCATCCCCTCTAGTAGGCCTATACAGTAAAATTGATTTCATTTTTACTTGATAGCAAAGAACTTCAATTCTGCAAACTATAGGTCCTGCACAAAGTTTGGGTTGTTATTATTTTTTAAGCCGGCGTATAGAATGGAGGCTATTGATTTGGGTACCTGTCCACTTGACCATCTACTACCACAATGTTTCTGTTGTAAATTGTGCTTGATGGTCTACCAGCCAGTCTAACAATGGTTTGGCTTGATCATATATTAGATTTATTTTATACAGTATAACACGGACAGCTCGAATTCGTCAGGACCGGCTTTGGTAGTTTGAAGGATCCGTAGTTCGAGGAATATCTTACACAGGTAAAGAAGAAAAATTGGGACGGCAGGCACAGTTCAACAGATGCGTAATTTCTAGTCTTCTGTGTTCGCCCTTTCAGTGTTACTCTTTATATATATAATATATATATATAAGTAGAAAATGTAAAAGTACTCTGTCATTGTTTTAATTACAATGCTTTCATTTCCAGGTTTGCCTGCTAACTAGTCAAACGTTGATATGGATTCTATGATTGATACTTCATTTTCCAACGAACTCATCCGGTTCGGAACATTTGTGGGCTGGCCTGGCTCTGATATCCACTGCAAGTCAGTGAAACCAAGTGCTATTGACTTAGCCAAAACGGGCTTCTATTTCACGGGTTCATCTGATGAAGTCTGCTGCTTTGCTTGTGGTCTGGTGGTAAAGGACTGGGAGCGACATCATGACCCCATCGTTGTCCACGCCACGCGCAGCCCGCGTTGCCCAATGGTGCTGGGCAGGGACCACAGCAACTCGCCAGTCATTGTGCCAGAGGACGCAGAACGCCTGGCCATCCTGTCCATGCTTCAGCAGGCGAGCCAGCGAGTGTTGACGGCAGTCAGCGGGTCGTATACTTCCTCGTCCCTCCTGGCGAACACGCTGACCGTGCTGTACGGGGAGACCATGATGAGAGCCAGACCTCCCCAGATGGTGGCCCCGAGCGCATGCTCCCTGACCTCGTCTCCGAGGCAGAGTCCCTCAACGGTTCGTCAGAACAGTCGCGATCCTCCATCCTCCCCGGGAGGCGGTGGGAGAATGCAAGCGTCTAGACCGGCTGCCACCGCGTCCTCTGATTCTCCTCAACGGCGCAGCAGCGCGTCCGACTCAGAGAGTACTGCCGTGTCACCCAGGAGACCACAGTTCCAACGCACCCGTTCGTACGCCATGGACTCAAGGCCGTCCTCTAACTCTGAAACGATTGCCAACAGACAGAACTCCAACCCCAGCACTGATCATGTTGAATACCAAGAGTCTGAGGAAGCGCGGCTAGCAACGTTCAACTCTTGGCCCGGTATCAGAGGAGCTACAGCCCGCGAGTTTGCCCAGGCTGGTTTCATCTTTTATGGCGCCCCAGATCGTGTCCAGTGTGTCTTCTGCAATGGGTTACTTCGCAACTGGAATGACAACGACCGGCCAATTGAAGAACACCGGAAACACTTTCCCACCTGCTCTTTTGTCACTGAATGTCTGTCAGCCATAACAGTTGCTCAGCCTAGGCATACCAACTACCGTACCTTGGAGTCGAGAGAGAAATCATTTCTGAACTGGTCTAGAAGGACGCAGACTCCTGTCCCCGAAGCACTGGCAAGTGCAGGCTTCTTTTATGTGGGTAAGTAAACAGGCTCTTCTATGTGAGTGAATAAAGTAAACAGGCTTTTTAAATAATAAAAAAAAATTTATGTACACACTTTTAGTTGCCTTTGCTTGCAGTATTTGCGCAACTGTTCATTAACGATGGGAAAATACACATATATTTTTGTGTGTACTTGCATTACACATCTATTTTCCAATTTGGGTTTGTTACGGTATGTAAGCTTAATCTGTTGGGGTTTTTGATACTCTGAATTTTTTTCTCTCAAACTCCCATTTAACTTTTTGAGCGGATTTGGAGGAAAAGTCCTATTTTTGGCAGTTGTGATTTGTATGATGATCTCTTGTATTGTTAAAACCCTATTTTTTGATAGTTAAAACTTTGCATGAATCATAATACTGTCAAGAATAACGGTCCAAACTAAATTTTGAAAGTTTCTGGAGTGATCTTATGTGAATTGTGCTATTTTTATCATTCTATGTGAAATTTTTTTTCTTTCCAATCAATGTGTAGGTCATGGGGACAACGTCAAATGTTTCTTCTGTGACGGTGGTCTGAGGAACTGGGAACCCAACGACGACCCGTGGAGAGAGCATGCTCGCTGGTTTCCGAAATGTGATTACGTGAGACAGATCAAGGGTCCCGCTTACATCGAGGCTGTGTTGGGAGAGACAAACTTGACTGTGAGTACTCAATCTATGGGATGGTTTTGTTTTTTGTGTGCTGCACTGCTCGTGGCTAGTTATTTTTTGGCAAAGTACTTGTTTGAGTCTTTTCAAACTGCTGCTTTTGTTTTTTGTTTTGTTAGTTAAGAGTATAGATTCATTGTAATTGTTGAAAATAGAGTTATTGAATGAGGGGATGTTGTCTCTGTCATTATCAGAATAACCCAGCCACTTTACAACTCATCATCGTCAGTATGTAATGTTCGTCATTGTCAGACCTGCTTCAATACCCCCTGGGGCAGTGCTACTGACTGGAGTGTCTTTAGGCCATTCCCAAAGGGGGGACATAAACATCTCGAGTTCTTATGCACTGTAGAATTGTATTTTTGTAAATGGCTTGATTCATCAATGTCATGCTCATAACTGTGTCCGAACTGCAACAGGGAACTGCTGCTATTTCTTTCCTTATCCTAATGTTAAAAAAACAACAACCCAAAAAATTGTTATCTCAAAAGTTTTTGTTGCAATTTCTCAGTAATTGACAAGTCTCCCCCTGCCATGATATTTCAAAATGGTTGGCCTAAGTGACCTGCTGACAAGTATTTTCAGCCCTCCCCCTCACCTCCTTTGCCCTCTCCTCTGGGCTCCTGACTCTTTCTGCAGCCTTTCTACTGCTACTCCTTGGCTCTTTCTTACTTCTGTCTTTCAGCCACACCCTCTGATCTTATGGTAGGTAAGATCTTACACATAGCCTTTTCGGACAAAGGCGTAAAATCTCGGAGGTCCCGTATGCAGGTTATGCACGTTAAAGATTCCTTTGTGATCCAAAATCTATAAGAGTAGGCTGCGGCCGCCACTCTGGCAAAATTCAAAATTTCCTACCAACTGAAAGTCTTTAAAGTGTCTCACGCACTCATGTGACCTTATATGCAGTTGCGAGCGCCGTAAAACACTTCCCCCCCCCCCCCCCCTTAAAAAAATGTGTTTTCTGTGAGCAGAAAGGTAAAAGCGAAGTAATCTCCAGCAAGCACTTAGGTCCTGTGGGTTTCAGGCTTTTTTCCGCCCGAATGAATGCTTGTATTTGTCTTCATTCTGTTGTTGTTTTGTGGAGAGCTGTATTGTAATCTAGAGATAACAACCAGGTCCGTATTGCGCTGTCACACAGTCAGAAAAAGATAAGCGAAAGACTGCTGTCTCCTCTTTTTGAAATATGAGAATGATTTTTTTTGTTTCAATTTTTTTTTTTTTTTTTTTTAAACAAACAACGAATGTACTGGTCCAAGAGCTTACTAATTAGCTTGTTTTCTGTTTTCAAAATGCTGTCTGTAATTTTTTTTTTTTTTTTTTTTTTTAAAGTGGACATGGATTTTGTCTCCAAGACAAATTCCCATGTGAAAAAATTTAAAATTAAATGTTACTATTTGTCTATTGCAGGAGTACCAGACAGCTTCAGTTGACAATACAGATGTGAAGAACGTAGCAGGGTTAGCAGGTAATGCTCAACTTGTTCTGCTGATTGGGATGATGGTTCCTCGTGTTTATACTATAGGTTGAGATTCTTAATGGCTGTGTGATGCTTTCTTGACTGTTTGGCAAGTGTGCCCATGGTTTCTTCGGATTGCTAATCTATGAATTTACTTTCTGTCTTTTCTGTCTGCATTTAGTGCCTTTCAGTCTTGTGTTATTCTTTGGTTTTCTTTCCATTCATTTTTCCTTGTTTATTTTTTATTATTTTTTTTGCTTGAGTTATTCTGAAGTTCTATGTGTTATGTTAGAACTCAGTAGTTTATTTACCAGCGAAGTCGTCTGTGTGCTACTTACTGCTACTGTGTTTCCAGTCATATCAGTGGCTTTTATTGTTTCTGTGAAGTTTGGAATTTCTGTTACCAACTGTGCAACCATGAATAGTTATATATTTTTTTTAAATTATCTTAATTTTCTGGAACTAGTTTATTTTGGAATTTTCAGAATGATATCCAGACATTTATTTATAAAGATTCTACTGTGCTCCTTTGAATGTTGGTCTACTCAGACAGAAGACTGTCAGACTGAGCATGGGTCTGTGGTCACTTAAGTGTGTCCTGCATACATGGACAGCAAGGAAAGGATTGGGCTCTCCTCTTGACATTAAAAGAAAAAAGAAAAATTATGGGGAAAGCTGCAAGAGGGGGGGGGGGAGATTTTTTTCTTGTGAATGATGTTATAAAGGTGGTTTGCTACTGTTACCACCTCCCCCCCCCCCCCTCCCCACTCCTTTTTTCCCTTTAAAAACAAAAACAAAATTCCCTGTGGCCAAGTTGGTTATGATCTGTGTTCACCATATATTTCTCTCCCTCCTGAGTGAGCTCATTGTAGCTTTAACTTGTTTAAGAAATATTCATTCCCACTCTTAAGAGTCAGCCAACATTTTAAAGAGAATCTGCTTGAGTTTATTTCAATGGCTACCATTTGCTCCTGTGATTTGTGCAGATTTTCTGAACGGAAAAATGTCTCTGAATGTGTTTCTTCTGTCCACTGTGGTTGCTGTGAAGCAGTGCATCGTAGGAATGATAGCACTTACTTCTTTGATTACTCCGATGATTTTTACTGGGGAAAAGAATGTGAGTTTCTGTTTCAACTTTTTCTCTCGTTTGAAATGTTGCTTGGATCTTCCCTTTGTTGCCAAGTTGGGGCAATCTTTCATTTTAAAATTCTAAAAATAGAGAACCCTTTCTAAATGGAAAACTGTGCCAAACTGTAGGAAATCTGGTGATCCTTCAGATTTCGTTTTTAGCGGACTCCACTGTATGGCACTGAATTGAGCGGAGGACTTAGACGTAACTTTTCTTTTCCATGAAGAAAATGTTCTCGAAGTGATTTCTTGTGAAATTGGGTAAAGCGCAAGATATTCCTTTAATCAGCTAGTATCGTGCTTTACTGCAGAACAGATGGCCTCTTATTGTTGCAAGTGCCGTAAAACACTTACTAGAACAAACAGAGGGCCTAAGCTCAAGTTTAAGACTTTTCTTAAACCCTGTTCGTTTTGTGTAGTTTTCAAGGCTCTCAGCCCATTTGGCTGGGTCGTATTGCAACTACCCCAACAAATACTGTAAAGAAAGAGAGACCTGACCCAACCCTACCCCTACCTCTGCCCCTCCCTTACCCAAACCTGAACTCTCTATTCTATTCTGTTGCATAGTGGTCGCTCGTTACGGTATTCCTTTTGAGACGGGTGTTAAATTGAGAGGTCCAGCCCCTTAAATAACCTAATAGTGTTGGGAAAAATCGCTGTATTTTTATCATCGTTGCCTTTCTCACCCTGGACCTGGATATAGGCCAGGAATAAACACTCTCCACCTTTCCCTATCCTGGGCTAGTCGCTTGATGTCTTTCCACGTCTTCCCACTTTTCTGTACAACATCCATTTCCGTGGCTCTTCTCCAGGTTCCACATGGTCTTGCCCTTGATCTTTTACCCTGTAGGTTCCAATCTAACACTTTCCTTGTTATGCAGCTGCTTGACTTCACTTGACTTCCTGAAAGTGTGAGCGGCATTTTACTAATAGACTAATTACTTGTACCCTCAGCGCCGAGAGACATGGACCCGCGGGAGGTGACCGCTCGGTTGGACAGCGAGATTGTGAAGGCTGTGCTCAAGATGGACGTCCCGAAAGACCTCGTGAGAAAGGCTATCAGGAAGAGACTTGCTGAAGACAGTAAGTTTTGTCTCGGCACTTTATTCGAGGGTGGTTGGCGAGCACTCCGGTGTGGTTTGCTCCTTCTTTTCTATCAAACATATCAAACATCCATCGTCCTTATCTTGCCTCCTTCTTTTATTTGTAAGTTACTATCTAGAAACACATCTCTAATCTTTGGCACTAATATAACATAGTGTTGCAAGTACTGTAAAACTTTTAGTGACGCTACGAAACTTTTTTCTTGTGTTGGGAAATCACATGCAAAGGGGGGGGGGGGGTCTTTTTCAGTTCAATACATGGGATTAGAAGAGAGATCATTGGCAGTCATCCAGAAATGGTTAGTTCAGTTTGCACATGTTGGCAGGTTCACTTTGCTGGCAAGTCACGTGCTTCCTTCTTGTTCTTGAAGTCACATGTGTGGATTTCCCTGCTGTGTGGGTGGTTGACGGGTGCTCTGGTGTGGTTTCCTTCATCCATCTTTCCTGTCAAACATCTATTGTGATTATCTTTCCTCCGCGAGTGGTTGGTGGGTGCTCTGGCATGGTTAGTTCCTCCTTTCCTATCAAACATCTATAGTCCTAATCCTTTTTTAAAATTTGTTACTCTTGTAACTCCTCTAATCTTCGGCACTTATAGGACCTAATTGGGGAGGAATTCCGTAACAGGCGACCACGATGAAACAGTAGAATAGAGGGTTAGAGTTTAGTGTGGGGTAGGGTTAGGGATAGATCTGTGTCTCTTTTTTATTGTATTTATTGGGGTGGTCGCTCGTTTCGGAAGTCCTTCCCCTAATTGTATTATTGCAAGTGCTGTATAAGTTATAACGCTTACCTAAACTGAACTAGATATCGCCTCCTTCTGTTCTTTGTATTTTACTCTCGTTTGACACGTCTAACCTTTGGCACTTAAATGGCCTATTTGCTTTGCAAATGCGGTATAACTCTTGCTAAAACTTTAAAAAACATTTGTTTGTGATCATACATGTATGAAAATGGGGAACACAACAGGGACTGACCAACGATGGGCATGATAGTAATACATCCTGTGGCACATAATGTGTGTAAGCTTCTGCAGTTGATGAACTCTTCAGTATGTTATTTACTTGTGACTTTCTGTTGCTTCCTCTAAACATCAGGTGTGGGTGGTTGACGGGTGCTCTGGTGTGGTCTGCTTCTTCTTTCCTTTCCAACATCTATTGTCATTATATCCCCTCCTTCTTTTTTGTGTTTGTTACTCTCTTTGAACACCTCTAATCTTCGACACTTATATGATCTAATTGTGCCTTAAAACACATACTAAAATAAACATCTGGTATTTCCAATAGTTTTAATAAATTCCCAACCCTTGCGTACTCATAATTCATGGCGGGAAAGCTCATGGTCGCACCACTGCTGGCAACCTGGCTCCCAGACGTGTGAATGTCTGTGAAGTGAGATCTCTGGTTTGGGGGGCGTGGTGTCAGAAAAAGAAAAATTTTGGTTTGTCATCATGATCATCCAATGCCAGATCAGAGACAGACATCGGCGATCATGGTTCTCCATTCATTCCTTTGCTCGGATGCTCTTAACCCTATCCATACGCCGTGTTTTACTGTCGTATCCATACGGCGTGGGGAACTCTGTGCCCCCATTTTGTAAAGAGGAAATTTACTCGTTAGTCCGATCCGTACACTTTGCATAGCAATCTGTCAAAATGAGTTTTTGAGAAATACTGAAAGTTTCGATGAGATCTTTCCTCTAGAAGTATTCTAAAATGTGCAGAATACAACCCCCTGGGGTACAAAAATGACCCTAGGCTTATGGATAGGGTTAAAAAAGCTACATTTCCCTGATCTCTCCCCGTAACCCATTTGTTCGGGTTCCCTAAGTAGGTTGCTCTGGGCCTACCCCTGCCTCGTTTGCCTTCAATTGTGCCAGTGAGAGCTAGATGTTCAAGACCTTTATATCTATTCAGATGGTTGGTAGTGGGTGGTTGGCAGGTCCTCTGGTGTGGTTTGCTTCTTCTTTCCTATCACACATCTACCATCCTTATCTTCCCTCCTTTTTTATGTTTGTTACTCTCTTGTAACACCTCTAATCGTCTGGCGCTCACATGACCTTATACAGTTGCGAGCGCCGTAAAACCTCTGTGAAAATTTTTTTTTTAAAGATGGTTGATAGTCATATCATAATGCTTGTTATAGTTTATATGAAAGGCTCCTATAAGTTTGCTCACTGGTTGTGATGTTTTCCCAGGCGATGACTTCTCTAGCGCTGAGGCGTTGCTGGAGGCGGTGTTTAATCTGGATCCTAACGAGCCCAGTCTGCAGGACCCGGCGGAAGGACACGGCCTGGACGGCTTGCTGGGGAGCAGCAGTCCTCCTTCTGACAGCTCTAATGCACAAGGTAACGGCGGGAGCTGTAAAACATTGGACACTGGGAGCAGTGTTTGGGGGGGGGAATTCTGTAATGAGCGGCCACTATGAAACAGTAGAATAGAAGGTTAGAGTTTGAGTTTGGGGTAACAGTAGGGTTAGGGGTTGGGTCAGGTTAGGGTTAAGTCTCTTCTTCATTGCGTTTGTTGGGGTGGTCGCTCGTTGCGTAAGTCCTTCTAGTGTTTTGGGGCTAGCGTAATGTGGAGGTTGCCTCCGTGGTTCTCTGTATTTACCTCGGACAGCCTGAGACATGTTGGGTCTAGTGGTAGGGTAGGGGGATTAAGACGCTAAGACTTGTTTGTAAACCTTGAGATATCACATTTCTGTCACCGCTGAATCATAATATTCTTTCTTTTATTTGAAAGGAGCTTTTCGTGAGCTGTATTCAAGTGGGTGTCGAAATGTCGATTGCCTTGTTAATCGTGAACTGTTTAAAAGGGAACATAACCAGAAAGTCTGAAAATAATTCTTGTTGCACATCATGTGTACTCCATTCTTTTTTTTTTTTTGACCCAGAGTTCATTCCCCTTACTTGGTTCAATGTTTTTTGGTAATTTTTTTGGACGAGCTGTATACTGCCTTAGAAGTTGGGGGGG